CGCATTTACGAATTTGTGATTTTACGCACTGCTTTATTCGGGGTATTCAATATTTTTGTTGAATATAAGCAATTGTACTGTTAAGTCCGTTATGTAAAGTCTTGGTGTGCGCATCCATTACGATTAAGGACGTAAAACTGTGATGTTTAGTAAATAACAACGGATATTTTGTACTCTCCTCCCCAGGTGCGTTATGTATTCTCCCGGTACATCGTTATAATCCGTTTTTGTCTAAATATAGTTTAGGTTGTCGAACAGGTGGAACTGTTTTTTGAAAAGATCAATTCAAGCTATCGATTTCATCCTTAAATGTTTCCTGTTGTACGGCTCCTATAAGAACGTGTACTGCTTCATATTTCTCCTTTACACTGATTAATCCGATTTGTCGTTTATCTTTAGAATTTCGTAAGTTCTGTATAAAACGCAAGACGTTTGCTGTTACGCTTATTGCTATTTCCAATGAACTGTATCGTTGTATGTCTATAAATGGAATTGTTTGTGTTGAAGCATTTATACTTTTATCGTCTGTATATTCATCGCTGATAGTTATCATCGTACTGCCAATTTTCACGGTTTAAAATCCATCGTGGACCGTTAATTCATAATTTGTTGTGATTATGATGTTGAGCGTAAATTCCACGAGTTAAGTAATCAGCTGAATTATCATCTGTTGGGTAGTAATTCTATTCAGCATTCTCTGTTAATTTTCTTATTTCTTTAAGTCAATTTGAGACAAACGGTTTCAAGTCTTTTGAAGATTTAATCCAACTCAGAACAATTTGACTATCGCTTCACATATACACATGTTCTGTTGGTATGCTTTTAAGAAGATGCTTGATTAATCTGGCTCCGATAAGCGCGTCCATAAGTTCTAAACGTGGTAGTGAAATCGGTTTTATAGGTGCTACTCTGTTTTTAGCCATGACGATGACCGATAAATTTGCTATCATTAAGCAAGCACAAACTCCGTATGCTAACTGACTGGCGTCCGTGAAAATATGTAGCGACGTGTTCTCGTTGATAACTCCTTCCGTTAACATTCGTTGAAATACTATTCTGGTAGCCTCCTCGATATCCGAAGCGATAAACTGCCATTTACTTTTCAATTCGTCGGACAAACATTAATTTAGTTTAATTAGTTTAAACATTATTTTATTCAAATAAATTGAATTGGATTGGGCAGCAGACAAAACCTATATAAGCCCTCTCCATGAGACAAACATTCATCCCAATCAAACTTTTTCTTCCATAGAGTCTGCATAAACAGCTTAGCTTTCACCGTTATTGGTGTGATTAATCCTAGTGGGTCGAAAATTCTAGACGATGTGCGTAAAACCTCACGCTTCGTTACCATTTTGTCCTTTTCCATAAAATCAATCTGTTGAGATCTCAGATCGTCGGATTCCCAATCCCATCTCATGCCTAATATTTTGACTATGGCGTCATTGTCGTCGATCTTGTTTCATCCAGCGACGTTCTGTAATTCTGTATTATTAGAATTCCAAGACCGTAGGTTGAATCCTGCCTCTGACAATAATTTTCTTGACTGCGTGTAGAATTTCAAAAGTGATTATTCATCTGTAAAACTGGTCAAGACGTTATCCACATATAAATTAATCTGTACTTCTGTTGATGTAGCTGACGGATTGTCTCTAAAATGTTTCATTAGCGTGGCGCTTAGCATGGATGGCGAACAGGTGGTGCCGAAAAGTACAACCTTAAACCGGTAAGTAATCAAACGGCTTTATATGTCCATGGGATTATGTAACCAATAAAATATTGTGACATCTATGTCATTAACATCTAATTGAATATGCAAAAATGGTTTTTCAATATCCGATGTATCTGCATATTTAAACATTCTAAACCGTACTAATTTCTCCGTCAAATCAGTCATAATTGGTGGATGTGTTGCTAAACAATCGTTTAGACAAGGGGTACTGTCGTTCGCTCTACAGCTACAGTTATAAATCATACGTATCGGGGTGGTGGCTGACTCCTTTATTACGGGATGATGAGGAATATAGTGAACGATGTTTGTGCATTTGACTTCATTAGATACCTTTTCAATGAATCCTCTTTGTTCTTGTTCTGTAATTATATCGCCATACTTTCGGGACATCTCGGGATCTTTCTTCAGGCAACGAATAACGCTTTCCATTCTGCGTTTTGCGATGTGTTCATTTGTCGGTAGCTCTGGCGCATTCTCTCTCCATGGCAATTTCGTAATATACCTATCATTTTTCTTCGTAATTGAGGTTTGTATGTAATTTTCAATTGATTCAGCCAGTTCTGGACCATTTTGTTCTTTAGCGTCAATTCCCAACGATTCAAGCTTCCAAAATTTTTCAAGATCACACTCTTCTTGTTTGTGACATACTAGTATATTCATCATTGAGAAGGATGCATTACTGGTTCGTGTAGGAACAGGACCGGAAAGTGAATATCCAATTTTCGAGCTAACAGCGGTTGGACAGTTCCCACGCACTATTTTGTCTTGAACTATGTCCAAGTAAAAATCACCTCCAATTAATAAGGATATCTCAAATTGTCCTCCTTCGATGACAGGATTTGCTAATTGTAGACCACGTATGGAAAATTCTGTGTCATTCTTATGTTTTGACTTTGAAGTGGAGAAGCAATGGTTGGTACAATTAAAATTTTAATAGGAATTAATTCTCCTTCGGTAGACTTTAGATTAATTGTTGTTTTACCAAGATGGCTCAGCTTTTTTGCAGTGCTTCCAACTGTAGCTAAACTCAGTTTCAGATCCCTCTTTTTTAATTTCCAATTTAGCTGCTAGTCCTTCGGTAATAAATGAGCGCTGAGCTCCATCGTCAAAGAGTATGTTTGTATCTTTACATGTATTCTGGTGAACGACTGGACTGAATGCAGTTTTCAATAAAGCAGTGGACCTTTCTTCACTAGAGGTATAAAAGATAGAAGTTTCTGTGTCTCTTTTGTTTTGTTGTTGTTCAGCTTCAATAGGATGTTTATTTGAGTATGAGCTCTTTTTGCATAGTGACGAATGATGCTTTCGGTGGCAAAACTTACATGTATTCTTGGATTTGCAATCGGCTACTTTGTGCTTACATAAACAATTAAAGCATAAACTCTTTTCTTTTATAATGGCGACTCTTTTGTCGTGATCTATGACCTCTTTACATTTGTTTGGCCAGTGGTTTCCGTCACAATATGTGCATTGTTTCTTCCGATTCGAGTTTAATGATTTATCTTTTGTGTTTATAGTACGACTTTTATCTGTATTTAATTGTTTAACGCCTGTTATGAAATTTGCGCTAGGGGTAGCGGTTGAAGACTTGTGTGTATAATTCCCGTATCCGGACTCTTGAATAGAAATCTCTTTACCTATTGCGTTTCTAAGCGATTGAATATTCCAACTGTCGCTCCGTTTTCGCGTGTAATATTTTTCCGTACTTCTGGCGGTAACTTCCCGAGAATCACTGTTATCAATAGCGATCTGTACATTTCCTAACATTGTCCGAGAGACTCTATAGACCACTTATGTATGCCTCCGATTTATCGTGAAATGTTCTCAAACTTTCTAAAGTATCATGCGGTGCGGGTATATCAAGTAGTGCTCTCATATATGCAATTATGTTTTTGTGTGGTTGGCCATAGCGGTTTTCTTAATAATTCAATTGCTTTGTGATAGTTCGGATTTGTCAAGGTCAATCCTGAAATCACGTTTGCTGCTTCAAATTGTAGCAGTCAGTTCAAATACGAAAATTTCTGAATGTCAGTTAATGTGTGATTGTGAGGAATTGTGGTTTAGAATGAATCCCAGAAATATTGCCATTCTATAATATATCCGCTAAAATTGGGGAGCGATAACTTTGGTAGGCGATGGTTATTACTAGAGGTCGAACGTGATTGTGATAATTCCCTACTTGCATGTGTGAATTGGTTTGAATACGGTGTAGTAGTCTTTTACACAATGTTTTTATCTATGGGTAACTGTTTCCAACTTAAGGTTGGTAATTGTTTCTAAACTAATTCCTTAACACTTTCATAATCAGGATCCGAAAGTGCTGTTTCCAAACAAAAGAATCTTTAACTCTTTCAACAACAATCGTATTCATACTTATACTAACAATTCTAATTCTTTTAAGTATTTTTTTTTTTTTTATAAAAAACTACCTTCCACTTTGACTTAAAATTTTGTGTGGGGCAGAATCCGTACTAGGGTTCAGGGGTTAGGGTTGGTGTTCGGGTTAAAAAAATATGACCTAAATTTCTACATTGTGGGGGCAGAACTGTCAATAGGATTGGTGTTAGGGTTAGGGTTAGGGGTTAAGGTTAGGGTTAGGGTTCGGGTTAGGGGTGAGGGTTAAAATTCACCTGAATTTCTGCTCTTCATGTTGTACATTCTCAACGTATATGTTCATTTTTTACACTGTTGTGTTACAGTGTATTTTTGTAAAAATTACCTTTTCACCTAAATTTCTGTATGTTGTGGCACATTCGGTATAATACTACTACTCATTTGATAAAGAACTTTCCGTTTTTAATTTTACTTTCAGTTCAGTATTTTTGTTTGTTTCACTTTTTTAACGATTCCGTGCATTACTCATTGTTTCCTATGAAACATCATAGATATTGCTAAGAATCAAGAAGTTAAGTCAATTTGGTGGGCATGATTTTGGCATCTAAATAAATGTCGTTTTATTTTATGTTTTGTATATTTTGATGTTGATTCTCGATTTGTTTCATTCAAAACAATATTTATGGAGGGGTCAATACGTGTAGGGTGCAGTTCTTATGGTTAAACATTTTTTATGAAACAGTCAAAATACGTCAATTAAATAAGATTAACGAAGATTTTATTCTTCATCAAATGTTACACACATCCTTATCGTTGATCTCTGTTTCTTTTTAAAACCACAAAAGTTTACCTGTACATTGTCATTGTGTCAAAATGAGATGAATTTACTTCAGGTTTTAGTATTATGATGTTTATAAATTGTTGTTGTAAATAAACATGGGGATTTTCTGAAAAGTTACTACGCAAGTTTGTAATAATGTTACGTCTAATCGAAAATATAAAAGCCTGTGACCATCTTAAATACTGCATATAAGTTATTCAATATATGTGAATTAAAGATGTACGAAAATATGATGAAGGCAAAACAATCTTCTACATTATTTTGTTTTCTATGCGTGTTGTTAATAACTGAAATCAACACTAGAACAATAAAATCTTTAAAAGGAAAGTATGTTAAACTTTCAAAAATGCCTATAAAACCAGATGGACAACAAGAGTCCATTGTTGACATAATAAAACGACCACCATCGCAAAATGGAAAATTAGATTTGGCATTTATAATGGATTCAACAGGAAGTATGGCTTCTTATATAAATAGTGCAAAGCAGAACATCAGAGAAATTGTAGAGGAAATAGTTGCTTCATCCGGCAGTGATGTACGACTAGCATTGATAGAATATAGAGACCATTCACCACAAGATAGAACATTTGTCACCCGAAAACATGACTTTACGTCTTCTGTATCTACTATGAAATCATGGTTAAATTCTGCACGCGCAAATGGAGGAGGTGATACACCGGAAGCCGTTGCAGAAGCAATGTTTCAAGCAACTAAATTGTCATGGCGACAGGAAGCAACTAAAATAAGTGTTATGATATCTGATGCACCTCCCCATGGACTTGTACCGTCCGAAGACAGTTCATTTCCAGAGGGATCTCCAAACGGTCACGATCCTATGCAAATAGCTCGAGACTTGGCTCAGAAAGGTGTAACATTATATGTTATTGGTGTGGAACCGCCAATTGTTCCATACAAGGACTTTTTCATGGCTTTAGCTTATATTACAGGAGGTCAATATGTCCCATTATCAGTACCTCGTCTTTTAGTAAATGCTATAACAGGGGGAGCTCAGGAAGAATTGTCTTTACGAAAGTTTCAAGCGGAGGTACAGCAAGAAATTAAGCAAGCTTCTATAGCAGGCGGGTCAGGCGGACTAATAGATAAACAGCAAATTGCACAAACTGTATTCAGGAGACTACAGAAATCAGGTGCTAAATCGAAGCAATTAGTCAGGAACAACAAAACTCTAGAAGGGCCTTCAGTTGATGCCAAATTATTAGCATCGAAGGCTTCAATGGCAGAAGTAAGAAAAGTATTCAAAAAAGGGACAAAAACATTTTCATCATTACCCACGAGAAGATTAGGTGGGTTGAGACCATCGTTCGCAACGATAGGTGGATTCGATGGAGCCGTAGTTGGAGGCAGGGGTGGAGGCCCAACGAGTAGAATGTCACCTGAAGCTTTAATTCCGAGTTCAAGTGGTAGTGACAAACTTTCAACAAAAGAATCTGGAATAACTTTGGAACAAATCAATAGGTTAGTAGAAAAGGAGACGGCAAGACTACCGAGTGTTTGAAATGTAAATTTAACTTTTTATAAGTATGAAATTGTGTGTGTGTGTGTGTGTGTGTGTGTGTGTGTGTGTGAATTTCCATTTTTCTATTAATATTGAATCATTAATAAAAATATATCTTGTGCACATTATTGTTTGTTCCTTTGCTTAAAAATGTCACTCTACATAAAAGAAATTAAATCAATTGTTTCATACAAAATAAATTATATAAAAACAATACACAAATAAAAAGACGTGGTATGATTGGCTATGAAACAACTATCCACCAGAGATCACATGACGTGGAAGCAAGTTACTATAGGCCATCGTATGTCCTTCGACAATTCGAAAACCCCATACCACAAAGTAAGCTATTTAAGGGTTCCGACATGTCAAAATATGAAATATTAAACCACTGAATGCAGGCTCCTGACTTGGGACATCCCTATAAAGAATATGGATTTTCTGAAAGTTGGCTCGCTGTCTAAAAAATAAATTATGTTTTTTCTAAAATATCAACCAGTACGTACACATCCAACGAATTTCGTATCAAGACTTCATAAACAGTATGAGGAAAGCTTGACCTTGTGCAATACCAAAATATAAGTATAAACATGATGTAGAAACATACGTGTTCATAACTGTATAGCAATATACATTTATTAATGTTTTAGTTCATTAAGATAAAAATCTATGTTAGTACCGATAGAGATAAAATTCAAAAGTCTTGTTACCGTGTTAATGTGTGATGGTGCCACATGTGGAACATGATCTGCTTACCCTTCCGGAGCACCTGAGATCATCCCCAGTTTTTGTAAGGGTTCGTATCACTCATTCCTTAGTTTTCTATGATACTGTGTGTACTGTTATTTGTCTGTTTGTCTTTTTCTTTTTTTAGCCATGGCATTGTCAGTTTATTTTTTAATTATGAGTTTGAATGTCCCTTTGGTATCCTTCGCCTCTCTTTTAAATTGATTACCTTTAAAAATAGTTTATTCAAAGGATTAATTAGTAAACGTTGATTGTTACTAACATACGGACTCAATAAACAACATAATCGTAATAATTATGATGTGATATACCGCTTGTAATAAGGTCTGAACAGGAACAGTTAAATTGAAAAACCAAATTGTTGTATCAATGAAAAAAAAACTTTTAGATAATTAGAGGTATCAAAATCCCAGACTTAAAAATTCACCAGTTATACATGGAATACGTTAAGTGAAATCTAAACATTACTGCATAGAGGGACATGGCGAACGGGATGGGAAATATACACAACATTCGTGTTTATTAATGGACACAAGGTAACGTTGGCGTAAAAATATTCGCTGATGTTTTAAATATGAAAGATTTTGTAATGTTTATAAATTGCAATATTCTTATCTCTGTGTGACATAAGTTTATTGGCTTTGGGTAGAGTCCTTTTGTTTATAAGTGGTTTCTATGGATATCTAAAAAATTTTTTACCGAATCTGTTGCTTAAGAGAAAAAAAAATATGTGGTGTGTCTTTGTTCGTGTGAATGATGGTGGAGTTAAAATAAAACAACAAGATACTTCTCAAAATGGTTGGAAATGTTACAGAAAAATTTATTAACAATTAGATATTTTTAGATCTCTACACAATTGATTTTATTTACAAGGAATAAACTTTAAATGAACATATCTTTTTTAAAGTTTTTCTCTATGGAAAAATATCATTTTGGTCCTTTAAATCTTAAAAAAAACCACCTAGTTTCTAAAATCTTTTTTCCAAACTATTCACATTCATGTCAATTGTAAAGTTTTTTTCATTTAGTTGCAAGATCATCTTTGGTGTCAGGTAGTAAAACATAAAATAACTGGTTCTTTTTACCAAATTGTTTCTTTTTATGCGATTTTTCAAAAACTATATGCAAGTGGTGAGTTCTGTTTCCGTCATTAATCAACAGGTTGGGTATTATCTAAAATGACATTATCTCTCTTTCTGTGTCGGTCATGATTTGTAAGGTGTCTATACAAAATTTTCAGATGATAAAGTAATGCAACTTTGATAGACGGTTTTTTGGCAATTCGTATTGGGCCCTTCATTGATTTTATAAAGCCCCATTTACCAATAATTATCTGTTTTAGGCGGCCCTTACTTTTATTTTTTAGCTTTACTGATGAAGATTAGTCCAGAAATGCGCTTAAAACAATAGGTTTTACTGCTGTTTGGTCGGTACTGCGTGTGATATTTTATTTTGCCAAGTGTATCATTAACCCAGTAATCAATGTTTATTTTTTTTCCACGATTTATTACCTCAACTAATGTTATAAACCTCTCAATCCAATTAGACATGAAACGAGTTTTTATTACATGAAACTGGTTAAACCATTGGGGCAATTTTTTTTTTATAGTTGACGATGTATTACCTCGTATTCTGGTGTCCTTCTTTTTCCAGAATTCCACATTGTATGCAGCAAAAATATTGAAAATGGTATAATTTATGTTGACTTCCACTAGACCCATTCTTTAAATTTGCAGCAAACTAATTGTATACATTTGACAAACACTATCAAATAATTAAGTCTTTTGGTGTTATTTCCTCGTGTATAAATTCTTTTAATCTGCTCTAAATTTTCGATTGGAGTTGGTCTGATGATAGTTGAACCAAACATGTACTTTTTGACGTAGCGAAACTAGTACTTTTATTTATTTAGTCAATGATATACTTATGTTTATGGTCAGCTGAAGGCAAATAACAACTAACAAAAGTTATGATGATGCACGACACAAATTTGACAGTTATTATTTAAATATTTCATTTGAAAAGGTAAATGTATAAAATTTAGCATACACTACACTCAGTGCTCTTCAACTTTGTAATTTATTTGGCCTTTTTCACTTTTTTTATTCGAGCGTCACTGACGAGTCTTTTGTAGACGAAACGCAAGTCCGGCGTAGATATTTTCAATCCTAGTATCTATGATGAGTTTAATTATAACTACCAATTGTTAATTTTAATATACAATTCTTTTAGAACAATCTCAACCCATAGAAGTATATTTGTTATAAGTGAAAAAGACAAATGTAATCAATTATTAAAAAATGAAATTTTGAAAAAGCCAATAATTTAGATTTATCTAGATGTAACTATAAATTTGATAATAATACAGTAACATCTCAACTTTTAGGAGCAGATACCGCCATAACGTATGAAGCTCTTTTAGAGTTGAAAACGCTGTTCCGAACGGAATCTGCATCAACCGTTATCTAAACAATGCATTGAAGGAGCATATAAGATAACGAATCGCTGCCTGTCTACACTTTAATATCTTACTAAGATCCCAAATATGTAAAATTAGACAATATGTTGCTGATACAACTAAGTTCAAAGTTATTGTACAGAATATATAATATACGAACCCCCAAGGGTGACTGGGGAATAGAAGTATGGTCACCATTGGTCTTCCTCCGACCGGCAGTAAAACCCGTGCTATAGTGGGGCGTCCGTTTGGCTGTACGGGATGTACAAATTTGCAGCCACGTCCGGTCAGAATGGGGACGTTAAATCCGATGCCTCGTGTAAAGAGAGTGCCACGCTCTTTGCACGTTAAGAACCCTTGCAACAACTCTTTGAGGGGTCCGTAGGTGACCTGTTGCAAGGCTAAATTTCTGACCCTATCCAATATACCCTCATTTCCCGTGGCAGTCTAAATTTCTCCGACCTTAATCCCTTTATCTATTACAGAACCTACCTATTGTATTTATTGTTAACTTGTTCTCGTCCTGAATATGCATGAAATATTTGCCACTGGACGTTAAGCAACCAACAATCAATCAATCAATATAATATACGTTGACAAAATGAACTGTAGTGTTCGGAATGAAACTATACACAGCTGAGCGGATAAAAAAGTTCTAACAATAAACTTTCGTGACTCATGAAACGATAGTAAGCTACAGTAAAACAAATACATCTCATCATGTTATTTCACCTAAGAATTTAACAAATCGATACCCTAGTAATGACTATTGTTTGCGTCATTAAAAAACTTATTTGATACAATTTACCAACATTGAATCTCAGTAACTATTGCTTGGAATATATACATATTAGTGTCTCGAAAAATTATATACTAAAATTACACAATTTACAAACATTGTTTTCGACAAATGTAACCAAATGATTCCAAGAAATATTTACTAAAAAGACATAATTTACAAACATTATTACAACCGGTGTATCCAGTTGATACCACCAATATGTATATAATTAAAGACACAATTTACACAATTTGTCTAACAAATGTATATGATTGATACAACAGCATTATGTACTAAAAAGACACAATTAACTGACAATGTGCCTCACAAATATATCTTATTGATACATACAATATATATATCTAAAGGACACAACTTACAGACATTGTATCCCACAAATGTATCTAATTGAAACAAACAAAATATACAATGATAGGACACAAATTTCAGACATTGTGTCCCAACGTGTATCAGATTGGTACACACAAACCTATGAATCCTACGAAACAAACTTAGAGGACATAATCACATTATTTATGTCCAAGTATTCCATTAGAAACTGGTACCATTGTTTCTATTAGGAATTTGATTAATACTTAACCTAATTGTATTGCAACATAACATTGTTATAAACCGCAAAATAACAGCCTGAATGTAACTCAAGTTTCGTCACTAAACAATTTTATACATGTGATAACATTGTTAAACAATATATTTCCCTTAAACCCAATAGAACATAAAGAAGTTATTTACCTAATCATTTGTTGTCAGTATACAGCGTAATATTATTTTATGCAAATTATGCCTTTTAAAAAACATGTGAGTTTGTATTTTGCCTAAAATCTGGCGGGAAATTTTCTCCAAGAAGGTGACGGCTAAATCCACAGTAAACGGATGATTTCTGGATCAGGGTTGCCTTACGTCAGCTTGATCAATTGTTATGATACTTGTACACAATTTTCCATTTGGCAACATTTTCCAATATTTTCAGTCATATTATGCAATATGTAACGAGCTGTGACCCACAATCTCCATACGAAATAGAAAATGATAAATACAAGTGATTTATTCACATAACACATGGTACCAGTCTGATCAAAGGTATGAAATTTGATTTGTTTAATATATAATTTGA